TTTCGACAGATTTTCTCAACAGAACTTTGCGATTTTTTAGTTCAGAGGTCCTTTTGACGATTTTAGAAACGATACAGTGCGAAGCTAACAATAAGTCGGTCACAGATTGAAAAATAAACGTCGAATGATATTTTCTGTATTTTTCACGCGATCTTTTAATAAATTCTCAAAGAAGAGCTCCACTGGCAATTTTAAACATTTATTTCTTTTCTTTAAATAATAAAAGTCCATTTTTGTAGTGCTGATACTCAAATGTGTTATAAGCAACTATAGTGATTGCAATTAAATTACAAAAATCTAGGACATTAAATTTTCTAGAACCCGGAGCAGTGATTCAATTGCCAATCATCATTTCTCGATATCTAGAATCACGTCCCATAATCACTGGCCAATTTTTTCGCAGGACTCTGTCTCTGTGCTACACAGTGAACGCCATTTAAACGAATCTGTCGTGAAACAAGCAGATCATGTAACAGCAGTTCATATAATAGGATTTTCCGAGCTACCTATGATATTTAATGGATTTACGTAATAACGGGAGTTTACGTCCAGATAACACAAAATTCATTTAACCAAGCGTTAACTAAATTTTGCGAAACAGATGGAGTTTGCATAGACGGAGCGTTTTCACTGTAATTCGAAAGAGGTTTCTCGTTCGACATCACACGCGAATTTATTAACGTACTGGGGAGAACGTCGCGCATCCCTAGAATTCTATATACGCGAGTAAATGTCACGTATTTTGTATTTATTGTGACCAATTGGACAATCAACGCCGGACGTTATCCCTAGTGTTTCGAACAAGTATGCTTTTCCATTGAGCTACTCTACTTGAGTTCCTTCAAATCGCTGATATCTACTAGAAAGATAAAAGGAACGTAGAGAGACGATCAATAATAATAAATGAAAGAGAAACTTCACGACAATTGACATAATTAGAAATTATTCCGTCACCCGCTGTATTTTACAATTTACATGGAATTTTTAAGATAAAATCAAACAGAACCTGCTGAAAGGTAGAATTGACAATTGCAATGTAGAAACGATCAATATTAACGAGGAATTTTAAATTAAATACTAAAGAGGAATTTAAATTAAAGCGTGCCGAGAAAATAACATAAAATTGAAATTAGTATAATTAGAAATTATTGCGTTATTCACAGTATTTTGTAATTTGCAATCAGCGCCGGTAGATTCTCATTTATTTCGATTAACTACGAGATACGATCAGAAATTGCTGAGAAATCAATCAAAAAAATCGACTGAATCGTACGAAGTGACATGATAATTAAGTTTCTCTGTTATCAATCGCTTCGTTTACTCAAAGATGTGTTGAAACATTCCAAGTCGAGTCGAAGTTGAATGAAATCAATCGGAGATTGATCCGAGCACTTTCCACAGGCTCGAGCTGTGATAAGGTCGTCCATCGATAAGCTTATCGCGTACCAAGTAAATCACAGTCTCTTGGGGAAGACTGTGATTTTTTTTCTCTCGAGCCTCTTCTCTTCGTGACAGACACCACCGATGATCAAATAATATAAATTAGTTACGCCATATCAACAAAGAACGAACAGTAAATTATTACATTTTTAAGATAAAAATGTAAAAATAAAAAAAATAATATAAATTAGTTACGCGATATTAACAAAGAACGAACAGTAAATTATTACATTTTTAAGGTGCAAAAATTGTATTCGAACAATTCAGAGAACCACTGCAAATAAGGGGTGCAAAAAGAAGTTTCTACGATGTGAAAAAAGAAACAGAAAAGACTCAATTCTTTTCTCTCAACTCTTTTTCGTGACTAGTCAGTGAAATAATGTGAATTAATTGCATAATATTAGCGTAATTGTTACATTTTTAAAGTGCAAAAATCGTATGTTCGAATACCAGATACGACGCAGAGGATCACAAACTCAAACAGACGATACAAAGAGTAGTTCCACGATGTGAAGAAAGAAGAAGAAATAATATATTTCACGTTGTGAAACACTTCAATTTTCTCGAGCTTCATAAAATCGTGGGATCTATAATACGTACAATGGAGAAGCACGCTGCGAAAAGAATTCCAGCGAAGACAGTTTTTTTCGCTCTATGAAATACGCCCAGTTTTCCCCCCCTGAAAATTTTACAAAACCGTAGAAATCCGGACGGAGGAGAGACGAAAGAAAGTATCGAGGAAATTCTTCGAATTCCTTGCCCCGCGGTATCAATGATAAGAATTCAATGAAATCGGACAACGTTGCCCATGGGACCGGGGAAAGAAATTACGAATGAAATGTTGCGTTAACGGGGTTTTCTCTCGCATCGATCGACGACGCTGCTCGAGCGCGAGTCCTGTGTTTCAACCGTATTTGCAGAGGATATCTTCCTTCCGATGGATGGGAACGACGCAAAGAACGACAGCATCGGACAGCATCGAGGCTCGGAAGCTTCGAAGGTCGACGGTAGAATGTTGAAACAAACGAGCCGGGCAAGTGGAATGAAACGAAAAGATAAAAGAGGACGGCGACAAACGATCCTCCTCTAGGTGTAATTTACTGAGGCGAGAAGAAAATAAATGCTCCGCCGTGATAGAGAAAAATTCTGACGTTCGAAGATACGGGGTTCTCGCGCGCGATCGTTCGCCACGAGTCCACGACAGCCGAGATTTGTTTTATCAAAATTCAGCAATGCTGCCACGACAGCCAAGGGGAGGCTGACAGGTGAAACAGGTCGATAACAGCGTCTACCACACAGGGCAATGTCTAACAAAGGGAAACAGAGAGAAGGAAGGGAGTATTAGCAAGGGTAATTTTTACCCACGGTGTCTTCAAATGAGTCTTGATAATCGAGGAAACACCGGGATACGAAAGGAATAGGTTTCCAAGGAAGTTGTCAGACGTAAAGTAGGACACGCGCGAGTCGTAACTGCTAAATTTGTCAAAAAAGTGTTCTTAAATGTTATATTTACGAAATTCAGAACAAATAGGAATTTATCATTGACGATTATCAAGTTTGAAATACTACGAAAGGTCTAATTAAAATTAATTTTGAAATATTATGATGTAACAAAAATGCGGTCATTCAAATACCGGACGTAAGAATACCTTCACAGTTTTCCACCAAAAAAATGAAACAGAATGTACGTAAGAACTGAAATATATTACGTGAAATTATTCTCGATATACGTACATTTGTTCACAAGTGAATGAGACATCTTTTTCTAAAATATCAATGATTTTTACTACGTAATTTTTAGAACGTAATTCTAAATTCATCTGTCTTGTAAACAATAGACGTGTTACGTGGTCGTAACATTGGCCTCAGAAACAATGCTTCGATCTTATTTATCCTAAATCCTCGACATCGCTAAACTTTTCGAATATTCCGAGTCCACGACGAAAACACAAGCCCGTTTTTTTCTCACTGCTTTAAGCAACGATCACACCGGAGGAATTCTGTTGCAAGCCATTCACCCAAGTTAGATTCACTGCAGTTCCCTATCCGCTGATACACGGAATTCGAGGGACTCGCTCGCGAGACCAGACGACGACACCGAACTTTTATTTGGCTAGACTGGATGGCGCCTTGGCTCCGAGTTCCTCGCCGTTACCGCGAACAGAAAGCCAGCCAGAATATTATACACGTTGGAGGGAAGAGCGCGGAGCAACGGAAGCGAAGGGATCAGCCGAGACAGATGAAACATTTATCGTGCGTAGGGGTGAGCAATCGGCGACGATAAATGCACACGCGCCAACGAACTGAAACCGTGGCCGCGCCAATGAATCACTTCGGGCAAGTCCGTCCGTCGGGTGTGGATTTCAGGGTTTCGACTTTTCTATAAATTTCTTTTTCATTCGCCAATGAATACACATTTCGACGATATCTTTCGAAATTTTGCGAATTTGTAAGAAGCTAAACGAAAGGTAGAAATTTGTAGAAATCGTATATAAGGAGTTGTTGCTGATTTTCAAATTTTACGGATTTGCAAAGTACGATGGAGATGATATTGTACGAACTCTCTGAATTCACACGATCGCGCGATACAGACTTGAATGTTATATAAAAATCTCTCAGACGTACCGGCGGTTTATACACCTAATTCCTCCTAATCGCAATCTATCTGGATCTGAAAGGAAAATAATAATTGTCAATTTAACGCAAGAAATAATGCACAAAATAGGAATTTTTCAGTTTCTTTTTTTTTTTAACAAAAATTAAACAAACGAAAGAATACAGAATTTTATGCGTTGGTATGTTTAGTGTTGTAATATATAGAGTAAAAATTGCTACAATGTAAAATACTTTCGCTTGACAAAAAAAAATATATATAGAGTAAAAATTGCTACAGTGTAAAAAAAAACATATAGAGTAAAAATTGCTACAGTGTAAAATACTTTCGCTACAGTGTAAAAAAAAACATATAGAGTAAAAATTGCTACAGTGTAAAAAAAATATATAGAGTAAAAATTGCTACAGTGTAAAATACTTTCGCTTGACAAAAAAANAAAAAAAAAAAAAAAAAGAAAAGAAAAGAGGAAAAAAACAAGAGAGACAATCAACCTTCTTCACCCAAGAAACATCCACATTACCCGATAAATCCGACTCCGCCGGACTTCCACCCCAAAAAAAAAATTCTTCCACATTCATCCCTCTGTTCCAACAAACAAAATCGATGAGACGAGAACGAGCACTTTGGATCCTCGTGTTGGCCTTCGCGGTAGCGAAACGATCCTCGGAAGCGGCCATTAGCGATGCTCCTTGGTCCTTGGCGGAATCGTGATCGTGTCATTGTCTGCGGTCAGATCGAGTGTGGAGGATCGGGAAAGTTGCCGGGGTTGAAAGGAGGGAGGCTGGGGCGAGAAAGTGAAGGAGGGAGACGCGATGTCTGACAGGGGCGCAAACTCGTTTCGGAGGCGGAGGAGAGGGCTATAGCTCGGCAGCGGCCAAGAGGGGACACGAAGACGAGCCAGGGGCGCTGGAAGGGCGCTCAGATGCGGCGCGAGTGGGGATGAGTCGAGATTGGCTTTTCGCGAGCGTGAAAATTCAGTAGTAGTACGCTACCACCCACGCACGTAGTACGCACGTTCGCTCCACGTGTGCCCCGAACACGAACGAGAACGATCCCCGATTCGCCACGAGTTGCCAGCATCGAGCAGAGGCGTCTCGGTGTGTCGTCCCGGGGACTCGAGAGGACTCGAGAGGAAAGACTGAAGAAATCCGTGGATCCGAGCAGTTCATCGATCGTCCAAACGGATCAGGGGGAACGTCGATCGAGGAGAGGGCGAGAGAAGATCGTAATTGAAGAGGTCGGAAAGTGTCTCTGTATGTTCCGGTGATTTCCAGCGGACTCGAGAGGGTAAACCGACGAAATTTGTGGCTTTTGGCAGTTCATCGATCGTAGATTGAGGAGAAGCGAGAGAGGATCGTTCGATTGAAGTCGGACGAGGTGAGTAGCTTGTGATTAACGAGTTCTGGATCTGGATTTGGAGGAAACGTTGACAAAGTTTTTGAAGAGAAACAAGGAAGAATCCCTCTCTGCGCCGGGTGGATCGAATCGAAGCACGAAGAAGAATAAGATGAGAAAGTTTCTTGTTCGATGAAGCTCGAGCCCGATGCTTCGAGCGGAAGAAATGGATCGAGAAGTTGCACGATCATCCGGCTGATCGACGCGTCGGCGTTCCTCCCGCGGCAGAAATCTAAAATGAAAATCCGCTCGACGGGACGAGAAACTTCTTCGAGTGGCGCGGCGACGACGCTGCCTCTGCGAGCCGCAGCTGAGAATCCTGATCGTTGGCACCTTTAAGAGCATCGTTCCCGGGTGATCGAGAACCAGCCGTCGTCTTCGACAAACTCGTAAGTTTCTTCTGTTGTTTCTCTGTCTTGAAACTTTATTGAATTATCCGTCGCTGATTCGCGAATTGATTTCGTTTCGAGGAGATTTGATTTCGTCTTTGAGAGATGGTTCTTGGATCGTCAATCAAGCACAATCTTCGTCGAACTCGTAAGTTACTGTTACCTCTCGATCTTGAAATTTTATTCAATTTTTCCGATTCATTGATTTGTGAATTAATTTCGCTTCGAAGAGATCTGGTCTGATCTTTAAGAGACGGTTCTTGGACGATCGTGGATCATCCATAATCTTCGAGAAACTCGTAAACTCCAGTTGTTTTCTCATTTTGAAATTTTTAGTAGACTATACATATATATATATCGAGCTCATGCGTGTTTCTTTCATTTGTTGGTTTGGTGAATTAATTCCGCAGCGTAGCAGAAACGAAGAGAAAGAGCGATCTCAAAGGGTGGAAAATAGGGGATGTTTCCTTTGTAAGGATTCAGGAAGCTGCGAATCTCCGGTTAAGAGGGGTAACGTTCCGCAGATTTAATAGGCCATTGCGTTTAGTAGCCCTGCCAGGTTTCGATTTTACGTGACCGCGATCGCTCGGCTACCGGGGAAACCATTGAAAGTCAGTGCGCAATTAGCGAAATTCACCGTCGGGATCACAAAGTTATTTCGAGATCGGCTGATTTCCAATTAAATCGAATCCCGGACACTTTTCTCTTTGAAATTGTAATTGCGGAAGAATTGTTAAAAAGGAAACGAGCGATTGCGTACTTCGTTTATAATTTACATTCACTCTTTGATTACTGAAACATCGTTATATCACAGATACACAGCTATAAATAACTGCTGTAATTTACGTTCAATTACTGCAATTTTTACTGCGATCAATCTCACTTTTCATTTTACGTTTTTAGGTGGTGGAAATTAATAATGAAATTGAATTAAACTATAAATCCCAAGATTAAAATAACTAGATATGGCTAATAACAAATAAGTAATAAATAAATACTATAATAATAAATAAATAAATAAATAATAATTTAATTATTGCTTTTTGATGATAGGAAATATTTGATCAAATATTTGAAACATATTCATCAATAATATATTTCATCTTCCTTTATATTCTCGTCTTCAACGTTCGTTGACCATTTTTACTTTAACATTTTAGCAATGAGTGTGCTGCCAGCTCTCGAAAAAGGTACTCCGATAATTTGAACGATTGCGCGGAAATTAATACGCACTCTATATCTTTCTCTGAGCGATGGTTCTTATCAATTACGCGAGAGAAACACGCGTTCCCAGTGCACAGTGTAATCTTATCATTGGATTCGAAGCACAGCCCGCCGCGTAATCTTTCCGTAACAAGGCAAACGTATGAACGTTCGCGAGCGAGCCCTGCCAGTTTCGCCTATTAATTAATTCACAGCCGCTGATACAGCGAACGGAGATTACCACACAGGATGCAGATTTTGGAATTGTGTTTCGTCTAATGGCTAGTCGGACAATAGACGGGGATATTATCACCGGCAACATTCGCATGAACGTTATAACAAAGCATGTCACAATGTAACTCCAGAGATCAACGTTTCTTACTCTGATGTATATGTATCGTCTATCGATTGTAAGCAAAGATTCTACAAATCTCGTTAAGGATAAAGTGTATATTTTCGCACTAAACCGACTCCGACGTTCGACTTAAGTGGACGGACTGCTCCTCCGTGCCCCTCCTTCGGGGCATATATATATATCCTTCGTTCTTACCTTTGTCCGGGTACCCTGGTTCTGGTTTACGGCCATCCGTCATAAACCTTGGGACCTTACGGCCATCCGTCATCAACTTTGGGACCTTACGGGCATCCGTCATCAACTTTGGGACCTTACGGCCATCCGTCATCAACTTTGGGACCTTACGGGCATCCGTCATCAACTTTGGGACCTTACGGCCATCCGTCATCAACTTTGGGACCTTACGGGCATCCGTCATCAACTTTGGGACCTTACGGCCATCCGTCATCAACTTTGGGGCCTTACGGGCATCCGTCATCAACTTTGGGACCTTACGGGCATCCGTCATCAACTTTGGGACCTTACGGGCATCCGTCATCAACTTTGGGACTTTACGGGCATCCGTCATCAACTTTGGGACCTTACGGTCATCTGTCATCAATTTTGGGACCTTACGGGCATCCGTCATCAACTTTGGGACCTTACGGGCATCCGTCATCAACTTTGGGACCTTACGGGCATCCGTCATCAACTTTGGGATCGTCACCAGGTCCTTAACCTTGAGTGGCCTCCTACCGAGTAGGCAAAGAAGTCTTTCTACGCCTAGAAACGGCCAGCGTGGTTAACATTCACTTACACGATAAAATCCTGTTACGGCGCAGCGCGACGGTGAACGATAGTTGCTACCCGCATTGCTGGTCTTTCTCTCGTCGTGCCTTTTACAGCCGCCGGAGAGATGTTTTTATGAATGAGGACAAGATGTAGAATAAAATAGAATATTTTACTGTTATACTTTGGAGATGTTCGCGAGTATAGTGCAGGATTTAATGATTTGGACTCGTATTGTTAGTTAACACTTTTACTTATTCTTACAACAGACGCGGAACTTCGTTCGCGGCGTATCGCAGAGTTTATACGTACTCGATGACGGCCCCGAATTTCTCTCGTGTTCTTTTCTCTGGCTCCTCGACTTGTTCTCTCGACTTGTTCTCTTACATCTTCGGAACTTTTTCGCTCCGAGGAAAACTCGGTCCCCGTTTCGGACGTCCCTAATTGGCTAAACCGTTTTTGCGTTTTGACCAATTAGTTTGTCACGAAATTGCGCCGCCTACTCCTTGCGTTCGAGACGCATTTTCTCTGAGAGTGGGGCTCTGTTACGCGGGAATAGAACACTTTTTTTATATAACCCGGAATACCGTAGTATTCCAGCGTAACTTTTATTTATACAATAACACAATAAATTAAACACTTACGTTCAGTTGGTGGAATGGAACTGACTTGAGGAGTTTGGGGATGGCCCTTTTATACCTGTTTTATGGGAGTTTTGGGTAAGGGTGGGATATTGTTATCGTTATTTTATTGGTGGATGAGTCGTCGTTATAGTCAGTACGTGATTTATGGCGACTCATTATAGGAGCTGCAATTTCGCCGGGACCCATTTTTTCCGAATTGTAGCGGTGTAGCAGGATTTCCTCCGGGCCTCATTCACTTTCTCCAAGTGTTTTCTAGATGTTGATCTGGGTGGCCCTTAGGAATCCAAGAATTTACGACGCTTTGCAGGAATGCTATTGAGGCTGTATTTCTAAAACTATAAGTGCGGACATTCGGTCTAAATGCGTCTTTAACGCACTGCAAAACTGACTTTAGCCTTTTCAATTCAATAGCGTCGGTGCCACGTGAGTCGTAAATTCTTCTAACTTTTCTGTTTGAGAAAACGTCTTTTCTCCAACATCTGCTAGCCGCTACAATACAAATGTTGATTGTAATGAATGTGTTGTGTGTTACGAGTCGGGAGAGGGCACGCTAGCTCTCCTCGTGACTGATTGCTTGTGATTGATTGTTGTTGCTGCGTGAATCTACGTGACTTTTTAGAAAATGGTACGAGACTTTCTGGCGCCGGCCAAGGCGCCTTGTTTCCTATGCCTTATCGAGCCCTTCCACATTCTGTCTCTCCCTCCAAGGCCAGAGAAAGTGTTCTCAGTTGAGAGTATGATAGGACATCTGGCAATTCTCGGCAGGGTCGAGGCTTCTGAGGAATTGACTTGGCTAAGACCTCGGAGGGTTCTGTTCTGAACAAAGCCAGAACAAATCCCGTCAGAGAGATCGAAGTGTAAGGAACCGGAGGAAAACTTTGTAAAGAGATTATTTTGTAAATTTTTATCAGAATATCTCGTAATTGAAATTTGTCGCAACAGAATCGTTAAAATTTCTAAAAATTCAAATCGTAGGATCTTGATGAAAATATTAAGAATTGGTCATTTTAATCCGAGTTATCTCGGTGTTGGATTCCGTGTAATGAGGAGTCAACACGCTTACAATTTAGAAGAGTTTATTCCCTTACAGTCGTGGTCGTGTATGAAATAGGATGATGTACAATGATTTAGAATGTCTTAGAATATGATGAATGCTCTTAACGATATAGAATGTCTCTATAATGATTTAGAATGTTTTATGAGTCCGAATGTCTCTAAAGTATGTCCTTATATATATTGGGTTATCATCGTCAAGTGGAAGGGGAAGGAACATAGATGACCAACTATTAGATCTTGCCCTTATGACTAACTATTCACAGTCCACTTTTATGTGAACTGTTGCCAGCTTATTGTCAGTATTTGCCTAGATTCAATATTGTCCGGGTTGGTCATCCAACATCGGATCCAAGTGACTTGTGCAGTCAGAGAAATTTCGAGTTACATCATGGGTGTTAGAAAAATATACTTAGAGTTTTCCTTTATCCGTAAAACATAAAGAGAATCGATGCTTTTTAAAATAAAAAAGCCGAGAAGATAATTAGATAATCAGCCAATCAAGATAATCAGCCGAGAGATTAAACTCTGCTGTCGAAACACAAATTCCATAGCTGAAATTTTTCTTTTGGAAACCAGTGAAACTGGTTTGAATGTTCGTGCAACTTGACATTACTTTACTAACAAACGGAATCTACGTGGAGATTAATTATTTTTGCGCGTCCTCCGCATTGTTTCGTAATTTTTCACTTTTGTGAAATGTTTCGTCAAACTTCTCTCGAAATGCAAACATCCAACAACCAGAGAGGGTATGGTTGATTCGCGAGACACGTGATTAGAAAGTCTCGCGTTCAAAGAATTTCTCCCCTAGTCTCTTCTTCGTTAGAGAATCCTGTTATTCAACCGATTGAGATAAAGAAATGGAATTCTCGTGATAAACGAAGGATCGTTGATTTCATCATCGCCGAAGGGAAAGTACCAAAGAATGCGAGGACGCGGTGTCACGCGTAACTCTTATTCACGGGAAATTACGTAACCGTCTCCGTCGCCACGTAATACCGGCGAATATTGAGAGAACGTGGAACGTGGAGGAGCCGCGGCGTTACACTTTTCAGGAATGTAATCAAACGGAATGACGAGAACGCAGGGGACGGTGCTCGAAACGTTGGCACGACGGGTCGACTTCCATCGCGTGTCTTCCCCAAGTGCTCGTCGATCATGCGGGCTGAAATTAAAAGAACGCGAGCCCAGTGAACGCAAACTCGCAATCAGCCCAGTGAATATTAATAGTTTCAATATTCGGAGACACTGCTCGAAAGATTTATCCGCGGGGATAAATCTTAGTCGAAGAAAGCTCTTTCTTCCGATGAAACGTGAAGAAAAAACGTGAAAGTAACAGTAATTGTTGTCATGTGGATTTTGTGCATTTATTGTGAAAATTGAAAGTTGCAAAAATGTATGTCTAGTATAACATACAAAAATATACTTAAAATATCCAGAATAGGATATATTATTAATATTCAGTAGATAAAACAGATTTTTTTTTAGATTTTATTTTTCTTGTGACGCTCATACAAATTTTAAAATCCGCATCCTACTAATTATATTAACCAGAACAAGCTTGAATTAATAATTTTTTAGATTTGTTTTACATTCTATTTTTTTTTTTTTTTGCGATTTTTGATAAAAATTTCAAACCGCGTGAAATCCGCATCCTAGTAATTATGAATGTATTACAAAACAGTGTCGATTTATAAAACAAGCTTCAATTAATAACTTCTTAAAATATCAAGTTCGGAAGTCTTCTTGAAACATAAAAATTCGGGAACTAATAGGATTTTAATCATTGCGAGGATTATGTTTCATTCGAAGAATCTTCCCTATTTTTCTTTTTGTTGAGAAATCCACGGAAAGTGGATAAAGATAAAGAAATGAGAAATGAGCGCTTCTTAAGTCACTACACGTTACGTATACGCAGGTATACGTTTTGAGAATAAGAAAGATTAAAGATACTTTCGAGTAAAATAGAGATGAAAAATAAAAATAAAAATTCGGGATTCTGCAGTAGGATTAATCTTTCCAAAATCTTATCTGCAAGATAAATCGTTTTCGTACGACGAGAAAAAGAGAAGAATTTTATCTTTCGTTTCTGCAACTCTCGTTTCTGTTTTAGTTTTCTCTCTCTCTCTCTCTCTCTCTCTCCCTCTCTGTTTTTTTCTTTTAATCGAGTCACGACTGCAAACGTTCCTCGCCGAGTTGCACCTCTGGCTAAAGCTCACCATCTGGCCAACTTTCTTTAAGTAAGAAGTTGGAGTTAAGGGAAATTGCCAGGGTAAGAACTTACCACCCCTTCATTTTTTCTTTTTTCCTTTTCCTCCTGCTAAAGCCTGCGAGCGACAATTTCGTCCCCACGGAATTAATTTGAGCTTCTTCATACCGCGCTTCACACGTGTCTGGTTCCACGAACGGGCAGAACTCGGTGTCAGCGGAGGAGTTTTTAATTTCAGAAAACCGCGGGTAAGCTCGAACTTTCTAACGGGGAAATCTACGAAGAAAAATGTACTTTTAAACGGCCGAGTTATTACATCCGCTTGCACAGCATTCAGACAACTTGTAATTAGACAGCGATGGAATTTATGGGAAATTGAAAGATTAAAGGGACGCGAGGGAAATGCGAGCAAATTTTTATTTAGGCTCCACTGTAAAATTAAACGAAACCGATCTCGTCACTGAACTGTTCGAACGAGTCTTTATTAAATCGCTTTAAAAATTTTAAACAGCGATATATTAATTTTATACTATACGTATATTAAATTTTAATTAGATTGCAATATTTTCACGAGATGTCTGAACGATCCAGAAAATTAATTTACGCAGATTTATCGGCGTTTTCTGGATAACGCACTCCACTTGTTGATGAAAGCTTTGACTCTGGATGAAAAGCGACTGGTTTCCCATAATAGTCAAGGACACTCGGTGCGTAAAGAGACGAAAAAGGGTCACGTTTTTGCCCTCTTATCAGCGGACGTTTAACACAGAAAAAAAGAAAGAAAAAAAGAACTCAATAGCTGAAAGGTCGCAGCGACAGAATGTGGGCTGTATTATAAAATGGCAGGGTTCAGATACGGGCGAACGAATATTGCGAGATATTTGAGAGATGTATCCCTTTACAAGCCCGATCAAATGTATCGGATGTCCCTTCCTTTTCTTCTCGTTCTCGAGCTTCCGAATTACTAATGCGTTCAACAATCCACCATGGTCACCTCTATCTTTCTTTTAGAAC